CCTCTTTCTCTCTATATTGTTCTCTCTATGTCGTCCCTCTCCCTTTGTTTCTGTATTATATATAAGCGTGTGTTGAATGTGCAATAGACACATTCTGGAGATGTAAAGTAGCTAATAAACATCATTACCGAAGGTGGCGGTAAGCTACTCCTCTAGTTTGTCATGACATCTCTCTCATTTTGTCGTTACATCCATGTTATGTAAAATTTATATCAAAACAAAAATTTGAATCCATAGTGTTAGTGTGGTTTGCATTGTCTAGCAAAGGTATTTCTGTCCAATACATCGACGCCACAAAAGGTCCAGCTATTGATAGTAACTTAAATGTTCAAAAATGTTTGTCCAAATTATTGGCATTTATTAGAAGATACCATGCAGATGACAACTATATATTTTGGCCTGATCTTGCCAGTTCTTATTATGCAAAAATCACAAACTGAATGGCTGAATCAACAAAATATACGTTTTGTGCCAAAATGGGTGAATTTAGCCAATGTACCTTGGGTGACTACAATGGAACAACAACTCATCAACAGGATCAAACAACAACTAAAAAACGTTGATCTTAAAATCGTCCAGACAATGATGATAGAAGTTCGTAAGAAACTTCGAAAAATTGAAGACCAACGACCTTTTTCGATTCTGTTCACTTTGTTGTGCTAGATTTTTTATTGAAAAATAAATAGAAACGATTGAACCATCTGACGGATATAATGATTTTATTTCTATCGAAATATTTTCGTACCATCCATTAGTCATTACCTAGTATAACTATTGAAGAGTTAACCCTAGACAAAACAACGCTTATAGTTGCTTCAAGCCACAGGAAGAAGGTCATAAGATAAAAAGAAAATTTGCACAAGTTTTTTTGCTCACAGCTCTATGTTAAAATGAGCGGAATCGGAGAATATCAATTGAAGACCTCCTACAGGGATTGTTCGTCCCTTATATGGAATCGATCATAATGGGATTGAAAAAGAAAAATAAGGAAGCTTCTTTTATTTTGAAAGAGGAATTTGTTTCATTTCTATCATATTATCATTTATGGAACAATAAACAAAAAAAAGAGTTGAGAATAGCAATGAATAATAAACAATCATGTTCATGTTAATAGATAATCAACAGATCAATGTAATTAGTTTCTTCGAATAAAATAAATCTTATTGTAGGAATTTATGTGGATATCGAATAATTTTTGGATAGCCTATATTAACTGATTGTTAGTATCATTTTTTAAACATCTATGAAAGTTAGTTAATACAAAAAAGAATGTTAAATCGATTTGATAATGACTTAGATGAATTGAAAGGAAGAAAATTAAATGCTGAATTAATCAAATTATATTTATTAAATAAAGTTGAACGCATTCAATTGACATCTTGTTGAGAGCTGTTAGTTTTACGTAAAAATGAAGGAAAAAAAGATAATCAACTAAATTATAATAATACGTCTAAAATAACACTAAAATAATAATTGACTAGAATAATTTCAATACATAGTTATTTCTTTGGTGCTGCTGTTTGATCAATTTTCTGTGCTGCTTTTTCTGTATCTTTACTTGTTGGTTCCTTTTTTGCTCGATGATCAGGATGCATTGAGCCAGTTTCTTATAATCTAATATGCCATGAACGAGCTTGTTTTAGATCATGTGGTGTATCTTGACCAAATGAAACACGTTGAGCATGTCGAAAATAATCTCTTAATAGATCTTTATAGATAGGATGAACACATTTTTCAATAATTAATTCAGCTCGTTGTTTTGGAGTTTTAGCACGTAAATCAGCTAAACCTTGTTCACTAACCATTATTTGAACTGAATGTTCATTATGATCAATATGTGAGACCGGTGGAACAAATGATGAAATTTTTCCATCTTTCGCTAATGATGGAGTCATAAATATTGATATATACTAATTTTAACAAAAAAAAACACCGAATATTTCAAATAAATAAATTAGAAAAAAAAAGTCGAATAATTACAGCATTTCTAGTAAAATCTCCACTACCACCAATTCCATTCATCATAGAAGAAGCAAGTATATGTGTTGAATTAATATTTCCATAAATATCAGCTTCTAATGCTGTATTCATTGTAATAAGAC